CTGGTATAGAACAAAGGACATGATAAAGCAAGGAAGGAAACTAAACCAGAAACTGTCACAAAAAATAACTAGATACTGCATAGCGGTAACATAATGACCCCCGCACGCACAAATGCACCAGAACTCAGAAGTCTTTATTCCTAATTAATAACATGCTACTAGGTGCATTCCAAAGTTGTAATGGCTTGGGAGGGGTCTTTTTTTGGGGGGGGACATTGCTTGACCTGATGGATAGCACCTCATCAGAGCTAAACAAACAGAAAATCGGAAGCTCCTACGTTTAATAGTTTTTGAGCAATAACCGTTTTTGTATGTCCAGATACCCCTTTTTCAGATAAATTGGGGGTCCAGGGGTGTGGGGGGCACTGATTGGTGGGCTTGATGGATAGAGCTTCATCAGAGCTAAACAACAAAAGAAATCTGAAGCTTCTATGTTGAACAATTTCTGAGTTATAAGCATTTTTGCATGTCCTGACACCCCCACTTTGAAAGGAGCCCCCTCCTCAAATATGGGGTCTATCATAAAACCGTTGTTTGGCGCAATGTAAGTCAGACTCAACTACAGCCCTGCCAAATTTCATGTTGATCYATGCAGCCGTTTTTGTGCTACGGTTGACCAAAAATCTCCGGAGAAAAAAGTAAATAAACAGTACAAAAACAATATGACTKCCGCTAACGCTTCGCATGCGGGGGTCATAARAACTCAACCAAAACACACTTATCAACAWATAAAGTTTGTTGTTCTGTTTGTTGGTGTTGTTTTAAATGAGTACCATTTTCTGTCTGCATACTAGAATTCAGACTTCCATTTATCATTCCTGAACCGTTCTCCTCATTTCCTCTCAGCATAAACAAGCTGTTTTCACCATTTATCAGATTTAGATGATGGTCTTTGTTGTGCATTTGAAACCCCACATTTTGAACTTTTTTGCTGAACTCTCTGCCTTTACAGCACCCTTTGTTTCATTTTTTTAAATTGATTTGTTCATCACACAAAACGTATGATAGTTTTCTTTTTATCTACAGCCATAAATGCTATTGTGTTCAAAATCTGACCAAAATAACTTCAACTCTGCGGTTTTTCAAGACAAGATTATCTTATTTTACAACTCTGTAAAGAGTAAAGGTGGAGGTGATATGCAGTCCTTCAATATAATGTTAAAATTGTGTTTATTATTTCAGTATTTGTCAGAAGGCAGTGATTTTTAAAAGTTTAGATCTTCCAGACATAAATTTTTATTCTACAGTATCAAATAAACTTGCAGTCAAATTATATAGACAAGTAAAACAAAGAGAAGCAGAAATAATGAGGGGAAGTTCAGTTTCTACATCCTTTTTTGCAGGCCATTTTGAGCATCCTGCTGCTGCCAAGCTGTTTCTCGAAAGGCAGATGTGGCTCTGGTAAATCTGTGATGAATTATTTGTGGTTTTCTGTAACCCTGGGAGCTCCACACGAGGGTTTCAGACAGGTGCAGAGAGTGGGTGTCCAGAAAAGAATGATAGGCGGATTAGTCCACAAATATATTTTGGTGCGTCTGTGACAATCATCATCAGGTTTCCTAAATCAAGCACAACTTTTAAATATTTATCAAGTCGTTTTAAAGAAAACAGTTTATTGTTTTGTGGAGTTTTCCTTCTATTGAAGGGATTAGGCACATAAATCTCAAATGCAAAGTTTATACCAATATTTTCAATATTTCATGTTTCCCTTTGGGATCAGTAAAGTATTTTTGACTTGAATTGAATTATCATATTACATCCAGCCGTCAGCTATGATAATATAATTATTACCAAGTAAAAAAAACATTTTCTCTCATTAGAAAGGCACCTATTGTGAATATAATCAATCAAATGGATGTACAGGAGGGCTTGTTTTAATGTTTCAGCTATTTGGTGATTTGACATTTTAGTTTGGCTTCCATTTTTTTTCCAGATACATTAACTGTATAAGTCCAGTCTCAAATTTATGGGAAAAAAACAGAAAAAAAAAGTCAAATTCGTAGTGGCAGGTTTTAAAATACCTACTACAAACTGCTTAGTGCCATGGTGTCAACACAATTCCCCAGAGATGTGGCTYTTAAACTTTTCTGGTGGCAGGGAGATTTATTTATAGGCTATTAGGTATGTAGTCATAATGTTCTGGCTGAGTGGTGTATCCATGTGTGTATTAATCCCTGCCTAGCMGCCWGTTTGGACCATAAACAAAAAATGATCCTCAGGAGTCAAATTGAGCTTTTTAATCTACAAGTAGTTTTAGAAAATAGTACGTAAATCATCTAAATTTACCAAACTTTCAGAAGCTTTGCCTTAAAATGATTAAATATAGTTTTTACAATCAGAAATGTGCCTAAAAGCATTACACAACAGATCGACAAACCTATAATTGGTAAATCCTGGTCAACAATGAGAGTGCAATTTACAAACTCACACACCATCACAAACTAATTAGCAGAGAAAAAAAGAATAACACCAGGGAGTTATTATTGCTGCTGTGGTTCAGCTTGGCTCTGTTCACTCCTCTCTACCGTCTGTGTTGATGTGTGTGTTAATGTTTGTGTATTTGTGCACAAAATATGCTTTTGTCATGAGCTCCACTCCACTTTTTTTCCAGCTTTCTGCACAGCAGTGTCACTGGGTTATGGAGTCTCTATATTTAGACTATTCTTTTGCTTGACCTTTTTTTTTCTCTTAAACACCAACAACGTTATGTGGTTTTGATCAACTCTGCAGACAAAAACTTTTAACTGCCAAATGTAGCACAAACATGATGCTTTTTATGATTTTGATGCTCTGACTCGCAGAGGGGAAAATATATATAAAAATGATCACTTAGCAAAATGTCTCACAAACCATTGGACAATATTTAATGAAACTTTCAGGAAATAATCACCCAATCCATCTCTACCTTTTTTTTTATCAGTTTCATGTCACATTTGAAAAATAACATTTACACTAGCTCTTATAAGCATTACTGGAACTGCATATATACTGTATAGAAATGGACACCATAAAAAAGAAGTTAAAATAAAAAATAAGGCGGCCCTGTGGTCACAGTACTGTTTTTCGACTAATAAAAACTGTGATGTTTTTAGTCAGCATTTCTGCCTCAGCTGAGGTGAGACGGTTCAAGTTTAGGTGGTGTTTGGGCAAGTAAAGTAAGGAAATTATGCAACGACCTGAAAACTGAGGTTGATGAGAAATGACAGAAAGAAATCTGTGGATTTCTTTTAGCAGCTAACTGACATATTTCTAAGACGAGGAAAAAAATCACCTGCCAAATGACCTGTTTTTGATAAGTGTATTTAAAATAAATAAAGGTCTCTGTTTTATAAATGGAGATGTGTCGTGAAAAATGTACAAAAAGTCTTTACAATTTTGGAACCTTTACTGTGAGGTTCAGGATGTGTGAAAAGACTTGCAGCTAGATGAAAAAAAAAACTGAGACAAAAAAAAGTTTTTTTTTTGTCATTTTTTCATGTGTAAAAGAGAACACTTCCTGTTCAGGTGTCAGCTTCATTTGAAGATATGAAGCGATATAAATAGTTCCCTTTGTMGCTCCTTAAGAGAACTTGTTAAGTCTTAATTGTTTCCCTTTTTTTAAGTTTACATTTTACTGTTCTCCACCCACCCAAACAATATCTTTACTGTACGAGCATCATCACAGATGATTTTGAGTCTGTTTTGGTAAAAGTCTGGTTTCCTGTCATTCAGCCATGATTCATGTGTTCAACAGAAAACCTTTACATGACTTTACATGAAGTCAACACGGAAGTCTGCATTCCCACGGTCTCTGATAGTTACACCAATCTCCCTCTTCAGGTTTTGACATGTGTGTTGCTCGAGTGTTGGTTTGTGTAGGGCACCGAAAGAGGAAGTGATTCTGACTGGCTGAGAGCTGCAGTAGTTTTTCTCTGACTTATTTCTCAGGGGTGGGAAGGAAACCCTGATGGGTGTGTAGGAGATGTGCCCCCCCTCCCTTATCTAAATGAACGTTTGTGTGTGAGAGAAAGAGAGAAACAGAACCAGATCTCTAAAGATAATTTATTGTGGTCATACCGTTTGTTCGTTGTGTTGCACTCTTGTGAGCAATTACAATAAATTAAGGGGAAGACCCCTCCTTTGATGTATTTTTAGGGGACAGGTGTAAAAAGGCAAATGGTATCATAAAAAATAGAACAAAAAAGTCTGAGAAAAACTTTTAGGAGGAGGTTTGATTTGGGAGGTCAATCATTGTTTCTACATGTCCATATAAGGGCATTCAGACATAGAAATGGTGAAGAACTACATTTGTTATATTTACACCCGTAACCATCAAATGACAGCTACATATGAGTTTGTGAAGTTTAAAGAGTTCCAATCTTTAGAGTCCTAATGTTTCCCTCTTTTGCTGATTATGCATTTTGTTTAGTGTCAAAATGCAATAACCTTTGATTTTTTATCTTTTTCATGTTGATGACCAGATGACAAGCTACAACCCATTAAACAACCCGTGCAATTCATTTTTACAGAATTACTCTGCTGTAAATCACTTTTTTAAATGATGTATTTCAAAAGGAAATGTTGTTTTTTCCTCAGGAAGTCAAATGTGGGCAACTTCTGACATTTTCACGTGAATAATTGTGCCGATGATTGCAGTCAGCTGTCAGGTGTCAGACCGTGGTTTGGTCCATTTCCATTCCTCGTCTACTTCTACTTCTTCTTTTTTCTGTGTGGGCATTTTAAGCCATATTCTCTGTATAAATTGCATGTTCTGGTTTCCTGTGTTACAACAAAAGGGAAAAAAAWTTTGAAATAAAGCTGTTTCCTGGCTATTTGATTTAAAGTCTGCAGGAAGTGGTAAATGTGGACATATTACCTACATGTTTAGGTTGCCTCTACTTTTTCTTATAACTAAAATGTCCACAACAAAATGTTTTATGAAAGTTAAATAAAATTTCCCACTACACTGCTCTGTCACTCTTTGCCCTCCGAAGTCACCACCATTCCCGTGTCTTCTGCAGAACTGAGTTCCACCCTGATGGAGAAGATGCAGGCCCAGGAAATGATGAGCGGCCTGAGGATACCGGAGATGGACGAGCTCGGTCAGTTTTTCCGCTCCCTGCCAACCTCCACGTTGGTGGGCATCGGCGCCCTGACCGCTGTGCTGGCATACTGGTTTGCCACCAGACCTCGCCCCATCAAGCCCCCCTGCAGCCTGCTGCACCAATCTGAGGAAGTACCGGTGAGACCTCCACATTCATACTGCCGTTGCTGCCAGTACTACTCCTCGACTACTCCATGTAGAGGAGATAAAAATGTCAAGTGAAAGCTCAGCATTGAATTGCATTGATAAAATCTGCTGAAAAATCTGAAATTTAGATGTTAAAACTATAAAACAAATAAAAGAACTTAAAAGATGACAGTAATGTTGATTGTAGATTTGTGTTGACAAAACTAACAAACTTCATGCAAATCAGACATGAAAGACACCTCACAAAGTGCCCATGATTATTTGTCAGACAATTTCACACAGTTTTATGACAGTTTTGAATAATTTTTGACATATTGATTGTCTTTTTTCTATCCTCCAATACCTGTACAGGGTTAGCCAGTAGTTGTGATTTGTGGTTGAAATTTGATTCAGTGGCGTCCAGTCTTGGTACCTCTAAACCACCAAACTCCAAACACCCCATTTTACACCATTGCACCACAGGCCTTTAGCTGTGAGATGACTGTTGCTGTAGCCAACAAAACTCAATGGTTTAAGGTTTGGTTTTGTCTTTTTGTGTAACCCTAATGTGTTTACCACATAAACACTGTGAAGTAAAGCTTTCCAAGAACAAACACAAACCACACAATATATTTTGGTTAAAAAATACTTGTGTGCTGTGATTATTAGAAGATCTTTTAATCCTAATAATCATCTTTGTGAAAAATGAAGTCCTAAAATAACAAAGAATGCTTCTGCAGTAATAAAGTCCAGCTCAGGGGAATTAATTAGCCCCTTCGAACTCATGAGAGGAACACATTCATTTTGGGAAAACAAGGACAATACATTTTTATTTCCATCTTACTGATTTATTCTGGACTGCTTTTGTGATGGAGAATTATTTCTAAACCTTCCTCAGATTAAAAAAACAACAACACATGACTGTAACATTTTCTGTTTTGTCTTTCTCTGTCTCTATATATCAGCATGAAGGTGGAGGTCGAAGGTCCATGATGGGTGACCCGTCCAGACTGCTGACTCATTACCACGATGATGCCAGGACCATGTATGAGGTCTTCCAGCGAGGCCTCCACATATCTGGTGGGTTGGATTTCAGCTCAAAATCATGACGTTTTATGTTTCCTGTTTTCTTCGAATGCATTTCACTAGCAAGGACCACACCATGGTAAGAGTTWAAAAAAATTATTGAAGGAAAGGGGTCAAAGGGTGGTGGGGATGAAGGAAGGGGTCGAAGGGTAGTGGGATGAATGATGAGGCGTCTGGGGAGGTATGTCGAAGGAGGCTTGAGGAGAAGACTCAGAGTGGYGCATAGTCTCCAGGAAGGATGCTTTCCTGAACCTGCTTTGGACACCCCAGCTGGAACCTGAAAAGGAATGGATTAGGAGGTAGTTTGAGGTAGGGATGGAGGAGAAAGAAAGAAACAGATATAGAGGGATGAAAGGATAAAGGGATGAGGAAGGGATGAAGGGATGAGGGAGGGATGAAGGGATGAGGGAGGAATGAAGGGATGAGGGAGGGATGAAGGGATGAAGGGATGAGGGAGGGATGAAGGGATGAAGGAGGGATGAAGGGATGGAGGAATGAAGGGATGAAGGGATGAGGGAGGGATGAAGGGATGAAGGAGGGATGAAGGGATGAGGGAGGGATGGAGGGATGAAGGGATGAGGGAGGGATGAGGTGATGAGGGAGGGATGAAGGGATGAAGGGACGAGGGAGGGATGAAGGGATGAGGGAGGGATGAAGGGATGAGGGAGGGATGAAGGGATGGAGGGATGAAGGGATGAAGGGATGAGGGAGGGATGAAGGGATGAAGGGACGAGGAAGGGATGAAGGGACGAGGGAGGGATGAAGGAAGGAAGGGATGAGGGAATGGATGAAGGGAGCGAAGAAGGTGACACAATGAGACCTTACAGAGGGGCTTAAGTGGGGTGAAAGGGGGTGGGTGTTGAGACAGCGAGCTAAGGGCAGACGCCAGGTGAGGCGAGTTTAAATAGATGACGACTGATTGCTGCAGGTGAGAGGCGTGGTCCTGCTCCCGAACCTAAGTTAATGTCTTAACTTCATTTCTTCAGTTTCATAAAGTTAACTTTTCAAACATCTTTTGGGCAAAGTTGATAAAAAAATATTAAAGATAAAGATTTGTTTCATTTTAGTTTTCTGATCCTTCCCAAGGTGATGGACCCTGCTTAGGCTCTCGGCTCCCCAACCAGCCTTACAAATGGATGTCCTACAAAGAGGTTTGTAGCCTTTTCACAGCTTTAAGAAGAAGTGGGATGGATGGATGGATGGATGGATGGATGGATGGATGGATGGATGGATGGATGGATGGATGGATGGATGGATGGATGGATGGATGAAGTGTGAGATGAGGGGCAGGGAAGTTTGATGGCACACAGAAACACACAAGCAATCCCAAAACAACAAGAAAATACAGAAAATTCAAATTAAACCAGAACGTAAAACACCAAGACAAAAACCCAGCTCCTGACAAGAAAAAGGTGGTGTTTCCAGAGTGTTTACATTCTGAGCAAATGAGACGATCTAGCATATTGTGTGAGAGCAATGAGGAAGTTTTTTTTTTTCAGCAAGTATATAAAGAGCTCTGATTTGAGTGATGAAAGAATGGCACCATCTTCACACCATCAGTGACATCATACAGTTTTAGAGTAGACTGAGGGGGTGGAAGAATTACAGATAGCAAAACAAATCTGAACTTGTTCGTAAGCTCATTAAAATAGCTAAATAAACATGGTATTAGAGGACCAGCAGTGGGTAACTAGTTATTTGAAAAATAGGAAGGGTTTGTTCAAATAAATGACATAAGATCGGAATTCAGTAATATCACATATGAAGTTCCTCAGGGTTCTATACTTGGACCAAAGCTGTTTATTTTGTATGTAAACGATTTAGTAAATGTATCAGGGTTGTTAAAATGTGTCCTGTTTGCTGATGATACTACTTTTGTTTGTTTGTTTTTTTTGTTTTGTTTTGTTTTGTTTTGTTTTGTTTTGGATATGGATATTGAATGGATGTTGGAAAGGATGCAAATAGAATTTGTAAAAATACAAACATGGTTCAAACTTAACAAATTGTCGCTAAACTTGGATAAAAGAAATTACATGATATTCAGTAATAAAAATAAAACTACTGATTTTTCATTTAAAGTTGATAGTGATGAGATTAGTAGAGTCAGTGAGATAAAGTTTTTGGGCATTATCATTGATGAAGGGCTGACATGGAGAGCTCATGTGAATTACTTAAGAACAAAATAGCTAAATCGGTTGGAGTACTGTATAAAGTAAGGGAGTTATTCAATGATAAAGCTCTATTTATATTGTATAATACAATAATTGTTCTACACTTGGTAAACTGTGTTGAAGTCTGGGGTAAAGCATGCAAAACAATCACAAATCCTATTTTTATTTTACAGAAAAGAGCAGTAAGAATTATCACCAGAAAACATTACAGTCACCCTTCGAATATATTATTTTGTAAATTAAAATTATTAAAATTGTATGAGTTGGTTGATTATAATATTTTGCATCTTATGTATAAGGCTCATAAAAAATGTTGCCTTTAAACATCCAGTTATATTTTGTTAAGAGAGAAAGTTCTCATAATCTTAAAGGAATTGAGATGTTTGTGAAACCCAGAATTGAACAAAGTTGAAGGACTGATGTACTTCAGTTCAGGGAATAAGATTGTGGAATACTCTGGAAAGTGATTATAAAAAGTTCAATGTGTTTGTTTAAGAGAAAGATAAAAATAAGTTTGTTAAAGAAACATGAAACTGTATAATGTATATCTAAGTTGTTGTTTGAGAATGAATTGAAG